AAAAAAAAAAAAAAAAAAAATGTCTACAAAATTGGATAGTTAGACAAAACGTAACGAAAGTTAGATTAATATGTGTCTTAACCTTTTTTTAAATGTATTTTTAGTTATAATATCTGTAGTATCTTATCGCATAAGTATAGTTAGTATTTTGTTATGCAATCAAAAAGAGTCTGGAAATGTATACGTGTAAATGCATTTTTTCATTAACATCGTTGAAAATAATTTAAAAAACTATCTTAAGAGTAACTCAGAAAACGAGTTTTGAAATTGACGTTATTGCTGTTGAATAAGAATTTGATCAGAAAAAAATAAAAGTGAAATATATTACTTACTGTACTTACGAAGTTACAAATTATTTACCCCAAATGTTGTTTTACTCTATTACGTAATAACTTATTTATTTAACAATTTCCACTTAACAATTAATAATTAAAGTAGGATAGTTTTTAACGTTGAATCAATGCTGATTGTAATCCACGGATCAACATTGATCAACTTGGCGTTTCATCATTGATTTCAATGTTAAAATCAACGTTGATTCAACATTGATACTGTAGGTGGGGTAGAAATTAGTTTAACTATTATTTGGAATTTTATCTTATTTTCAGATATGTCTTGTTTAGTAAATCTCAAGCCAATCTCAATTTATACCCATGTTATATTTGTTTGATTTTCCTTTTTTTCGGTTTATTTTCGTTTATCAAAAAATCAATTAACCATTAAAAATTGTACAACCAAGTGAATATTTGTATGGATGTATCAATTTTTTTGTTTTATATCACTCAAACAGCTATTGTTGACACTATTACTTATACGTCTCTGTAAATTGTATGATCTGGTACAATCATCAGCAATGGAATATGAATCCTGGTTAAGACCAAAAAATTCATCCAAAAAAAAAAAAAATTGATTGACAGCTGGTTAGTTGAAGGATCAAACAAATGAAAAAGATAACGTAAAAAAGGACAGTAAGTGATAAAGGAAATTTTTATTCATTTAAAAACGTTGAACAGCTTCTTTGAAGTTTAGTATCTTCAAAGTCTTCGACATGTTTGCTACAAGGTTCAGGTTCACAAGGATTCCAGGTGATGGGCATCTCTTCCCTTCGACGGCATTGGAATGTTTTTCACGGAGAGATTGCAAATCTCGAATCCCACTGTGCAATAATTGAAGTTTGATCCTCTTCTGAAGCTGTGTGACTACATATACAATAATGATAAAAAATAGTTATGTTAAAATTTATGATGATAATGATTACAGAGGCTCTTAAATTGGCACCAGTGAGTCTTACCATATCATTCATTTTCAGATCCTAAATGACAAAACGCTGTGAGACTGAAATGGATGAAAGTCCAGAGCTCTCACAGGACCTTCGTGTTTGTCGGAACCGCTAATCAAATAGTTGCTGTCGTTCTCAAACATCTTGTCAGCAGAGTAAATCTTCATTTTTCCATAATTACAGCAACTCACAATAATGCCATCTGGATTCGTTCCACCAGCTCCCACAATAATCGTATGACAATCGGATGGTAATTATAATTATTGTATTAAATTTATCAACACTATGAATATTTTAAGTATATATAAATAACAAATAAGGAAAAACCTTTGATAACTTGGCACACTGGTATTGATTGAGAGAATACAAATCCAAACTGACATTACAGGACTAAAACTGACATCCAACTGCTGAGCAGCTGTTCCTGCATCCAAGCAAAATTGGAAAGTTGGTGAGCTGCTGGACTAGAGGTGACCAGGTCACATTTACAGCTTCATGCAACTCCTTAACCTTCATTACAATCATTGTGTTAAATTNATTGATACTGTAGGTGGGGTAGAAATTAGTTTAACTATTATTTGGAATTTTATCTTATTTTCAGATATGTCTTGTTTAGTAAATCTCAAGCCAATCTCAATTTATACCCATGTTATATTTGTTTGATTTTCCTTTTTTTCGGTTTATTTTCGTTTATCAAAAGATCAATTAACCATTAAAAATTGTACAACCAAGTGAATATTTGTATGGATGTATCAATTTTTTTGTTTTATATCACTCAAACAGCTATTGTTGACACTATTACTTATACGTCTCTGTAAATTGTATGATCTGGTACAATCATCAGCAGTGGAATATGAATCCTGGTTAAGACCAAAAAATTCATCCAAAAAAAAAAAAAAAATTGATTGACAGCTAGTTAGTTGAAGGATCGAACAAATGAAAAAGATAACGTAAAAAAGGACAGTAAGTGATAAAGGAGTGAGTACAGACGCAAGTGTAATAAGTTTTTCCTTTTTTATTTAACAAACAGAAGAAGGCTTCTCTTTTAAAAATATCTTTATTTTGTAACTTAAAATGTTGTTGGTAAAAAAAAAAATTACAATAGCGGATCATTTTGATTCTGTTCATTGCTACTAGAATGAAAAATACTTTTTTTGGCTTCGGAGACATCATAAGGATTTGATTATGTTGATTGTGCTGCGTACATTAATTATTTAAAACTTCCAGCTTCAATAAGTAATTGTAGAGATAAAAGTAAAGCTATTGCTATTCGAATAAAATATACATCTACACGGACTATCTTTAAAAGAACTATCATTGGTCTATTCGATGAAAATAGTTGATTTGCAATTGGAAGGCTATTCGTATGGCATAAAACACTAAAAATACAAAGTGAAATGTTGTATGTGCCTATTATTTATATTTACTAACTTATAATGTACAAGGACCTATGCGATGAAACTAGTTGGTTCATAACTAGAAAGTATTCGTACAGCATGAGACATTACAAATGCAAAGTTCAATGTTGTCCGTACCAATTATTAATTCTTACAATGTTATAATGTACAAGGGCACAATTACTCCGAATACACGAAATTTTTATTCATTTAAAAACGTTGAACAGCTTCTTTGAAGTTTAGTATCTTCAGAGTCTTCGACATGTTTGCTACAAGGTTCAGGTTCACAAGGATTCCAGGCGATGGGCATCTCTTCCCTTCGACGGCATTGGAATGTTTTTCACGGAGAGATTGCAAATCTCGAATCCCACTGTGCAATAATTGAAGTTTGATCCTCTTCTGAAGCTGTGTGACTACATATACAATAATGATAAAAAATAGTTATGTTAAAATTTATGATAATAATGATTACAGAGGCTCTTAAATTGGCACCAGTGAGTCTTACCATATCATTCATTTTCAGATCCTAAATGACAAAACGCTGTGAGACTGAAATGGATGAAAGTCCAGAGCTCTCACAGGACCTTCGTGTTTGTCGGAACCGCTAATCAAATAGTTGCTGTCGTTCTCAAACATCTTGTCAGCAGAGTAAATCTTCATTTTTCCATAATTACAGCAACTCACAATAATGCCATCTGGATTCGTTCCACCAGCTCCCACAATAATCGTATGACAATCTGATGGTAATTATAATTATTGTATTAAATTTATCAACACTATGAATATTTTAAGTATATATAAATAACAAATAAGGAAAAACCTTTGATAACTTGGCACACTGGTATTGATTGAGAGAATACAAATCCAAACTGACATTACAGGACTAAAACTGACATCCAACTGCTGAGCAGCTGTTCCTGCATCCAAGCAAAATTGGAAAGTTGGTGAGCTGCTGGACTAGAGGTGACCAGGTCACATTTACAGCTTCATGCAACTCCTTAACCTTCATTACAATCATTGTGTTAAATTTCTCAAGACCATGAATATTATAGGTATACATAACAAAAAAATACAAACCATTGATCACTTGGCACACTGGTCTTTAGTTATATATCATAACCTGGCTGCTCCAGATTGAGAGAATACAAATACAAACTGGCATTAGAGTACTAAAACTGAAATCCAAAATTGGAAAGTTGGTGAGCTGCTGGACTAGAGGTNCAAGAACGTAGGTATTCATTCGTTAACATATGTTTAAAGAGTACTTAAAAATTAATGTACTTAAACTCGTTATTAATTTTAGGATTGGAGTGCATGCCCTGAAATTGTCAGTGTATTAACGAATGATACAATGTTATATTTAACTGTTAAAAACGAATAATTATTTGTTTAAGATAATTAAATTATTGCACAACTTACGGATATTGTAGTCATCGATTTGTTAACTTCAATTATTTATTAATCATTTGCTTTTCATTAAAATCAATTTTTCACTTTTTTACTTCAATATGTAATTTAGTTGTGTGGAATGTAAACTCTGTCATGTAAAAAAATTACGACTAAATAAATAAACTTTATCTATGCTGAAAAGAGTTATTTTATCAACACTGCTTGTGTAAGCAAATACTATTNGATAGAACCAATAATTGAAGTTGTAACCTCTTGCTTCTTGATCAGGTTTTTTTTTGTTTTGGTTGATTTGATTGCAGAAAAAGTAAATCACAACTTTGTGACCGGAAACTTGTGGGAATTACTCATTTGTCAGGAATCCCACGTTAAAGTCCTGCTTGATTTATATACAAAGTTAAGAGAGACAAAAAACTATACAAAAAGATAGTAAAAAAACAAGCACAGCAATACACTAAATGCTGTTGGGCTAATAACTGAAATATGCAGTTTACTTGTCAGATCTGCTTCAAACTGCTAGCACTCACAGCAGTATTTTTGCTCACCTCATCGTTTGAGATAGTGATAAAGGCCAGACTTGTCAGCTTGATCGCGATGTAGAAAAAAGGTCCAGACTTCTTCGTTATCAGCACCGGCACAGGACAGGACTGGGCACTAATGCAACGATCAGCTGACAAAATACAAACACCGTGTGTCGACGGCCGAGTTATACCCGAGAGACGCGGCGACACTCATGCAATGCGCAATTTGAGAACCGTTGACGTAGCAGACGACGCTACGGTACTGTCGGCAGCAACTACAGGCTCTGAAGTTAGCTTCGGAAAAAAGTAGGCCCCCCACTTCTCTCATTCTGGTGTGAGAGTGGTGGGGGGCCCACTTTTCCGCCATGTTGAAATTTTCTGTGCCATCGCTGGGGATGCGGGGCATTGAGCATTCGTACGAGCTCTCGATGCATGTCATTGATAAATGTTTGATGACGATACGTATATTCAGTGAATAGATAACTGTTGCTCAGGCAAGATGCCTTATGTTGGATATGAAATGTTAATTACAATAAATTCAAGTATTTTATAGAAGATATGTTTGAAGTATCTATTTTTTCAGGCTCATGTATTTTTATCAGTACTTTTTCTAGACATAATATCTGATGATCTATTCGCAAGAAACACTTATTTTTTGATGTAGTAGTTGATTTACATGCATTTTTATTTAGACTTTACACTAAAAAGTAAGAGTTTTCAAAAAACAATTTTAATTAGAACAATTAGTGTTACTCTGTCAAAATGTTACAGATTTTGGCACCAATAAGAACTAACGTCTACAAATTTGAAACTAAAGTTTTATCACTAAATGATAAAAACTGAAAATTTTATGACCACAATAACGTTACAAAAGTCATTACTTCTTCTGTACACTTTGACGGCTCCGTAAAAGACAAAGTCAACTCAAAAATGAGTGAAAAACAAGTCAGCTCAAATTTTGGTTGAAAAAATAATCAACTCAAATTCGGGTTGAAGAAGCAGCCAACTCAGGCGTAATTTTTCTCCATTAAGTTTTGTCTTGACAGCACTGACAATAACCATGTAGGTATACCTATCTCAACAGAGAATTTGTAATCATCCAATATTTTAGAAAAGTAACGCATTTTTTTGATACAGAGCAAATTATTCTTATTTAATTTATACTCTTCAACGAAGCCATTGACTCATTATATGATTGAAATAAATAAAAAATCACTTTTTTGTATGATTCTTTCACATGAATCTGGCACATGATATTAAACATGTGTTTGAAAAATTAAGTTCTTATTCCTAATCAACGAAAATTTATACTTATTTCTTCTTTGAAAAGCTAAAGAACTTATCATGTGTAAATTTACCACAAATATGCTCAAAATGCACTTGTCTATTGCAAGTCAGCCATTCTCGTACTATTTCATGAAACACAAAAACTTTAAAACATAGTCTAGCAAAACTTAGTACTACGATTAGTACTTTAAAAAAACCATATTATAATATTTTTCTGATGTAAAAGCATTTACAGCCAGACAAAACAGTTAACAATTCAGAAAAAATTTTCTATTGAAATAAACTTTTTATCAAACATATAAAAAAAAAACTATTTAATTAACTATTCATATCATTCGTGCTAAAATAACAAAATGTTTACCCCTCTTGCATCTCGAAAAAGTATTGCTGCATGTACTGGATCCAAACAAGCATCAGAAGCTCTATGTGGTGTTATTGTCGTTCCCAAGGATAATCGCCTAGTCAATGGGTCTAAAGAGCCTCGTCGTAAAGTACCTGAAACATAAATTTTGTTTAAAAACAATTTCTGTATAGTTTGTAACACATACAAAGGCATTCAAACCTATACAAACATTCTAAAAATGTAGTCTATAGTTTGGTAACTACTATTTGGTTTTTAACATTATTTAAGTGTAAAAATTTTTTTTAAACTTAAGCACTAACAAGTATATGCTTAATTATTTGAGAACACATGTATGTTAAATCATGGCCGAAGTTAACTTTTGTCAGTTTTTTTAACACAGCAAATATATTATGCGCAAAACGATAAAAAATAAAAATTTCAGACTTATACTTTAGAGAATCACAAATAAGTAAGTTACTATGGTATATTTAATTGTACTTCAAGTTCATAAGACGATCAACGTCATTATTATTTTTACTATGACGATAATTACTTTCGTATTTACTTGAACTTCCTTTTTAATTATCATATAAAAAAAGTAATCAGATAAATAAAGAAACACAGAACTAACCTAATAATATCATTTAACACATTTAATTCACTGACTTAGGATATACACTCACTTATAACACTAATCCGTTTAGTCCAGTACGCAAGGATGGAATAATTTTTTTCCGAACTCTAGTAGAAAAATCTAAAAAAATTTAATCTTGCTTATAGTTTACTCGAGATATTGAGAGAAATAGTTTTTAACTGCATATACATCAGCTTAATTTATTTCTTTGACAATTAACGAAAAGAAGCAATTTTTTCTTTAGTTTTTTGCGTTTAACACTGTTCCTAGAAGCTTAAAAAAATAGTAATGCTTATTATGACACTACCTACACGATACGATATTTTTTATACGCCACATTAATTGTTTATAACAATAAAATTACAAAAATAAGAAAAAAAAAATTTTTGCTACTTAAAAATTTCAACATCTGTAAAAACAAAAGATATAAATTTTGCCGTAGATATGTTAAACAATATTCGTGAAGGCTTACCACCTCATAAACTTAAATTAAAAAAAGGTACAATGGTAATGTTAATTCAAAATATGAGTATATCAGTCGGATTATGTAACGGTACACGATTGCGAATTACTCAATTGTTAAAGTATGACATAGAAGGCGAAATAGTTACGGGAGAAATAATTGGTAATAAAGTTTTTATTCTTAAAATTACATTAAATACTGGAAATACTTCATCATTACCCTTTATTTTATAAAGAAAACAATTCCCATTAGTTGTAGCATTTGCTATGACTATAAACAAGTCTCAAGGTCAAAGTTTTGATTAAGTAGAATTATACTTGAAAAAACCTGTATTTTCTCATGGTCAATTATACGTGGCTTTATCGAGATGCAAAAATAAAAATAGAATTTTTATTCAAATCGATAGAGAAAACATTTTAGATATTGAAAATATAGTTTGGAAAGACGTTTTTGATTATGAGTAATAATGTATCTAATAATAACAACATGATTTTGATATTCCTATATGTATGGACAAAATTTATTACTTAATAGTACATCCCATAAATCGATATTATGTTGTAGCAATTGCACCAATTGTACCAATTTCAACATTGATTTAAAACAGAATAGGAATAGACCTAAGTCTTCGTAGTTTGATAGGGCTTTATAAGTTGACACATAAAATAAGTCATATTAATGCGAAACTTCCACGGTTTGTATTAATGATAAACTAAATGTAATTTAAATTTTTGTATGTATTGGTATTATTCATTCGTATACAAAATAATGTAATACATACACATAAAAATTTTATATATAGTTTATCATAAATGCTAACAAAAAAAAGCTTAACGCACCAAGAACTTTATACTTACAAATAAATGGAAATACAATTGATATAAATTGATTTTTGGTCGTATTGAGTTTTATAAATGAAATAGTTATGAATTATTCGTATGTATAAAGTCCATCTATTTACCTCCTGGGTGGTTTGAAAAAATAGATGAAAACAAAATATATTGTAAGAACCAAAACATGTTCTTATTAGTTAACATTCTCCACAAATAAACATTTTTACGGTAAAAAAATATACATGAAATATTATTTTTATGATGTATTAAATTATATTTTTTTTAAAAAAGACTCTGAGTAAAACATAAATGACTAAATAATCTTAAAACTCCCAATATAAATGGTTTTATATGGTGAAACGTTGCTTGGAATGCCCCACACAGTTAACTATATGATATAACAGATAACTTTATAATTTAATATATAATTATAATGACGCTTTGCGCAACGACCCCCTATAAACAATTATGACTTTCAATTTCTTTTTGACGATGAGATAAATCATAGTAATAAGAAAGTTTTGTCTTAAAGTAGTGTCATAACAAATCAGATGAAAAGTAATAGATTAGTACTAATACGACAAGTACACATCTGTATACACATCAATGTTCGAGAAAGACAGTATGATCCCTGTTAGGTTCCCCAAAAGTAGTGTAGGGGGTGGTGGTAAGGCGGGGGGCACAAAAAAATATGTGGAGGGGCTGTGGGGGGTTTTGGGAAAAACTGGGATGCTTCTAAACAAGGAAAATATGACAGGTTTNAAATATTGTTTAGCAAGAAATTTTTCAGTAATTCAAAAATATGTAACATTGAAGGTCATCACATTTAAACAGACGTATGTTAATTCATAAAAACCATGAAAAATAAATATGTAAAAAATGTGAAAAGGGTTTTAAAAGAACATATGGGTTAAAACGACACATGAAATGTCACAACATTAAGCTAACAGAATGAATTATTGTTTCAAAAGCTTAATTGTGTTTGCCTATTTAATTATACCTCTTCCTGAATTCCGTCTTTTTGTAAATAAAGTCCTCAGGTAATCAAGAATTTTATATTTGGGTAAAGTAAACATTAACCAGAAAGAGATTTGAAATGTAAAAGTTCAATCAAGTTAAACAAATAATGGTACTTCAGAGACATATAGTGAGTAAGAGGAAGCAAATAGACATAGGGAGACCTGTAATCAGTGACTTAAAAACCTTTAAAACGAGCTATGACTTGAGTACTAAATTACGTATATTTTTTAACATTTATGATGGTAAAACATTCTATAAATAAATATTTTTGGGGGGGGGGAGGTGGAAGGGGAGCAGGGGGAGCTAAGGAGAAGCGGGGGGAAGCTCACTCAAATATAATTTGATCAAAAATAATGTAAAAACAAGCAAATAACTACGTAAATTAAAGGGGTGCTGAAAGGGAGCGGGGGGGGGGCTGAGACTTACTTTCGTCAATACAACTATATAATATAGGGATATATATATATGTATATATATACATACACTAGAGGGGCTGACGACCCCCTGCACTCTCCGCGCGCCAACCCCCAACTAGCAGATTGAGTAGATAAAATAACAACACTACTTGTGTAATTATCAATGCAGGCTGAGAATAAGTTCACAACAGCAGAATACGCAACTCACAAAGGAATTGATAAAACACATGATAACATAAATATTAAATTTCCCATAGAATTTTTAATAATATCAGGAAAGTTCTTCCACCACACGAATTAAAATTAAAAATAAATGCTGAAATAATGTTACTAATAAATTTAAGTATATCAGACGGTCTTTGTAATAAAACAAGATTAAAAATAACAAAATTAATTAAGTATAATGTAGAAGCGGTAATTATAATGGGAGAAAAAAAGGAAGCAAAGTTTATATTCCTAGAATAACATTTAATACTGGCACCTCATCATCATTACTTATTGTCTTGTATAGAAAACAGTTTCCCGTTGTATTAGCGTTTTCTATGACTATCAGAAAATCACAAGGCCGAGTTTTGATTCCTATGCATTGTATATTAAAGAATGTTTAATTTTTTACGGATAATTATACGTTGCTGAAACAAGGTGTAAAAATCTAAAAAGAGATTTTATTTAAATTGAATCCAAGGATAAATCAGAAATTAAAAATATTGTTTGAAAAGAAATATTTCAGTAAATCAAAAATATGTAACTTCAAAGATCGTCACATTTAAACAGACGTATGTTAATTCACAAAAATCATGAAAAAAAAAATATGTGAAAAATGTGGAAAGGATTTTAAAAGAACAGATGGGTTAAAACGACACATAAAATGACACAATATTAGGCCAACAGAATAAATTATTGTTTTAAAAGCTTAATTATGTTTGTCTATTTAATTATACCTGCTCCTGAATTCTGTCTTTTTGTCAATAAAGTCCTTAGTTAATCAAGAATTTTTTATTTGGGTAAAGTACACATGGACCAGAAAAAGATTTTAAATATAAAATTTCAATCAAGTAAAACAAATAATAGTCCTCCAGAGACATATAGTGAGTAAGGGAAAAAAAATAAACAGAAGGGGACCTATGATCAGTGACTTGAAAAACCCTAACAACAAGGTATGACTTGGGTACTAAAGTACATATATTTTTAACATTTCAGATGGTAAAATTTTCTGTAAATAAGTATTTATGGGGGGTGGAGGGAGAGCGAAGGAGAGCTAAAAGCGAGCGGGTTACTCAAATATTGTTCGATCAAAAATGACGTTAAACCAAGCAAATAACTTAAATTCGACCGTTTTTATCGCTAATTTCACATTTTCTAACTTTTTCCTTGGACCCCCCTCAGCCCTCCACAGCCCCTCCACACAATTTTGCCTGTCTTTTTACGAGCCCCCATTGCCCCCCACACCATTTTTCATACATCATGTCATGTATGCTTGTTAAATGATGAAACATTAATAAGTGACTTTCAATTTCTTACCATGAATATTGCCGATTTATCTATGAAAACTATTAAGTAAAGTCAATGAATTATGTAAAAATCTCTTTCTAAAAAATATTTTCTATTTCTGTATTTTTTTGCCTTTCTACTTGAACGAATAAGTTATTTTTATCTTTGCATCTTGATAAAGCCACATATAATTGACAATGAAAAAATAAAGGTTTTTTTAAATACAAACCTAAATTATCGAGACTTTGACCTTGGGATTTGTTTATTGTCATAGCAAATGCCACAACGATTGGAA